AGAATCCACCCATGGCTGGCTGGGGAATTCTGGGAGTTGAAGTCCACTCATCTTAAAGTGGCCAAGTTTGGACAACACTGATCTATGGTGATACATCCCCACCCTTTCTACTGGAAACGCTTCTTCCAGTGCTGGGTGCCAATCACGAGAATCGTCCCCTCAAATTTCAGGGATGCCTGTCACATCGTATATGTCTTCATGAGTTAAGATTTCTAGCACTCCAGTTTATTCCCCCCACTTTGTGTATAATATATAATGCAGGCATGTTCTGGTTACCTCTCTCTTCACAAGTGACTCTTGTGTCTCATCCCAAAGTGAGGCACTGATTAAAATCAGGACTCGGGACAGCTCCCAGAAACACCAGCCTTGACAACTGACTTTAAAGATTTCCCTGAATCCAGCTTGACTCCTAGGGAATACATGGCATGACCACGTTGGTTCCTTGGCAATTGGCTGGAAATCATTTTTCACTGCTTTCTTGGTGAAAGCTTGGGGAACCTTTTGCAGAAGCCACTTTCAGCCTTGGGACTGTCACCAACTTTCATTTCAGTAAAGCACTGGAGGGTGGTTTCCAAAATGCCAGGTCAGGGAAAGAGAAGAGTTATGGCTATTCTTCTCTTTTTTTTGCCACCGTTAGAGAAAGCTGTCATGCTGTAAATATTTACTGTAGTCATCCCACCTCTTCTCACATTGGCTGAAGTGTTTCTGCCGGCCTTTTATATCGTCAGAAGAACCTTGTGAGGCAAAGAGAGAGAATAACTTTAATAATGCTAAAGAGGGGGGATAGTTTTTAAGAATTGAATCTACGCTGACATCAGTAGGTAGCTATGTGTGTCTATTGGTGTGATCTCAAAATATTACATCTGCTCTCATTTATTTTCTGAAAAGTTGTACACTCTTTTAGACTAATAAAGCCCATCTATGTAGACTCTGTAGAGAAATAAACAAGGCACTGTTTGGGCTGTATCCACATAGCACACTTAACCTAGTTACTGAACTAACCCACTTTCTGTTTGTAACTATAGTTTGAAACAAGCTAATACAGCAGTCTGGATTTGCACAGCCAGAAATTAAAAGAAACCAAAATTAAACTAACCAAGTTTAGCATGTCATGCAGATAAAATGCTAGACTTCTAACTGACCCAGTTGTGTTTGTTCTGTGAATGCAGCCTTGGTCTGGGTGGGGTGGGGTGGTCCCCTGAAACATTTTGCACGTTAACAACACCACAGAAAAGACGAACTGCCGCCTTTCCGTCAAGGTCACTTGTTTTTCCAAGTTGCTTCCGAATATGATCTCCTTATCCTGACAATGCTTGCAATGACAGTTCAGAAGCTTCAGTGATTGCGGTGACACACACAACAGGCTGCAGTCCAGATGTCACTGTGTCTATTGACTCTGCCATCAGTGATGACATTCCGTAATCCCTACACCCACAATGACATTTGTGTCGTGGCGCTCCCTAGTTTTTCTATCCATATTTCTTTCATACTCTGCCCATTTTCCTTTCCTGAGTTGGCCAAACCGGGGCCAATATCAGTTAAGATGGAAAATTTAAAGCTGATGCTTTTGGCTTTCCTGACTTTAAAGTAGAACATGGACCGTGTTTGTTAATGTCAATAAACTTATTATCCAGCACCCTTGAGGTATTACAGATGCTTGGTTCTAATTACAATAGAAATTCTGCTTTACTATTTGGTTTTCTTTTCAAATATCACTTATTTTGAATAGTATAGATTCACACGTATAATCCACTTGTTTAGATAAAGTTCGATTTAAAAAAGTGATGAAGGTGTTGGACTAAGAACAGAAACCCAGGTTCAAGTCGTTCTTCACAAAAAAACCAAGGTTTGTTTGGGTTTTTGAATAAGCCCTGATTCACTGGGCTTGCGCCATGCATGAAGGGTGGGAAAGGGGTGTCCTAGAGCGGGTGCTAGAATTCAGTTTTGTTTGCACCAGCTTTCTGAACTCCCCAGGCTATTGACCACAAGGAGGCAGTAGATGTAGAGCTAATGAGGGAAGCGACTCTACGCTTGTCTAACTCACTTTGCAAGTCTCTGGGGAACCTTTCTCTGGTTTAGGTTCAGATCAAATGCATGCATAATATCGGATCAGTTCTGGAATCTCCTACGTTCCTGTTATGTCTCAGGCTGTTCAGTTTCCAGAGGTGTCTGCAGTGAAGCAGAAGGTCAAGATGGCAGCTACAATGGAGTGATTGCCCCTCTTTAACATACGTCAATGCATGCAAAGGGGGGGGGGCTTCAATTGCCTGATTATGGCCACCATTTGACCCACCTCTGCCTATTTCATCATAATATTGTCAACCATGCTCAATTGCTCTTGCCAAATTGTGTAACTGTGTCATACTGGGAAAGACATCTATATTTATAGGTTCTTAAAAAAGTGTTTTCCTCTAAGAAATACTGTATTGAGTTATTAAAGGACAGTGCATCTGTTGTCAATATCATGCAAGCTTCCACTGCATTTCTAAAATTATGTTGCTATTTTTCCAACATAGATATTAAGGGCAGGGGATGGAGAACTGTTAATTTGGAGAACCATTAATTCTGTAGCTGTTAAATGAATGTCTCTCTCTCTCTCTCTGTTTATTGGGGGTTGGTAATTGTGGAAAAGAATCCCAATTTTCCCACCCAAAGCTAATGTTTGATAACATATGTTGAAGTCCTCCAATTACCCCTACCAGTGGCAAATGCAGATTTTTATGTGGTTATCCATGTATTCCTGCCAAGAGATTGGCAAATAAATGATGAAGTTTGAAGATGAAGTTAATCTTGTTTATATATAACACAAAACACATCTGTTGAAACAAGCCAGAGCAAATAATTGATTTTCATGCTTTCCTTCCCCTGTTGTCATCCTGCATACCTGGGAGACTTTTGCAAACATTTATTTTTTCTTTCACTGAAGTCCAGATTGTGATCTCCAGACTAGAGACCTGAATCACAAATACTGGGAGGCAATAACCCATGATTTCAAGTTCCCTTCTTCTGGAACAGATCAAAACTTGGACCAAGATTTCCTGATCAGAGAAATGAACATGAGAGTTCAGTCACGTGTCTACAAGAGCATGGAAACACAGCTTAACATTTTGTGCAATCACCATTTTATGTTGAGAATATTTCCCACCCACCCCCAGCAAAATTCACACTGAAGTTCTCTGCATGCTTGAAATAAGCCACATTGAATTCCTTAACATTTATTTATTTAATAAACAACTACAGGATAACGTAAGATAGACTGTATAGAAAGCCATAATAATAAAATCATAAGCTTTAACTAGATAGAAATGCTCCAATGCCTTTTTCGGAGAAGATCTAAAATCTGCCATCAGAATCAACAACAGGATGAGTGTGTGCACTCCTGTGCAACAGTATGCTTATTTTATCCTCTCCATATCTCTTGATGATTCCTGTTCTCCCTAGGTAGTAGAATCAGAAAAACATCATGGTTTCAAGAATCTCTCCTTGCCTTAAGAGTGATCCAAAGAATAAATTTGGAAGAAATGGCCTATTACTGCATATGCTCAAATGGTCTCCACAAGGGAACTGCAAAATAGGGAAAAGTGAACTACAGCATTACATTCCCAGCTGAATGACATTTCAGAATTATCATGCAAACGCAGTCTTTGACACTTATCTAGTTCCATGCAACATGACATAGACACTTCATATCACCAACCGTCTAATGCCAATTAGAGTGAGTGCAAAAACCAACTTTCAGAACTGACGTTCCCAGGTCAGACAAACACCAGATTTGAAAAAGACCTGATGATTCATGTTCTCCCTAGGATATTTTTCATTTCCATGCTATTTGGGTGTAAGAATTTAGCTGGAATTAATTATACAATTATATAAGTATTTGTATATGTATATGGTATTATATGCTTTCAGTTATGCTTCTCTGATGGCACCTTTAAGTGAAGAATTCTTGTTATGATGCCAGTTTGTTAGAATGTGTGCCTTGACCAGTGTTCCTCAACCTTGGCACAGCTGGCTGGGGAATTCTGGGAGTTGAAGTCCACACAGCTTAAAGTTGCCAAGGTTGAAGAACACTGGCCTAGACAGGAAACAATAGATTCAGGATGTACATTGTTGCTGTAAAGAACAGGATCAGCTACTTAGAAGAACAGACAGAGCCTTCATACCTCAAAGCTGCTAAGGTGCTTCCAAGGAAGGTGTCTGTATTATCT